AAATTTCCTCATAACAGGAATAAAAATAATTATACATGTTAGGGCATCCAGAAAAAAATCTAGTTAATTATATTTATGTCACTTCAGAAGTGGAGGCAATAAGTTAGTTAAAGATGTACAGATAACTATAATTTGTTCTGATAAGTGCACTTCTGAAATTGGTAAAACTGAGTTCACAATATTGTAGTTTTTGATCTGTTCCATCTTCATTTCAACTACTATTCTGGCTGAAGCTATTCTATTTGTTTTAAAGAAATCATGTTTTGACATCTGGCATGTACTTGATACTCGTGGTGGAACATTCAATCCAACATCAGCTGGTAACAAATCTTCTATTGTGAAACCTTTATCTGCCATTACAACATCACCTGGTGACAGTTTTGGAAGAAATCCATCGTGCTGAGTAATGTGTCTGTCTGACACATTCCCACCCCACAGTCTTGACACAAAGGTTACCATACCACTTGGTGACACACCAATCAATATTTTAAAAGTGTTTGAATGTTTGTATTCCGACCACGTCATCCACTGTGCCTTTAAAGAGGACGGTTTTTCAATAAAAAATTCTGTGCAATCAAGCACAATTCTAGTATCTGCGTGCATGCTAAAAAGCTTTGGTAAGTTACACAAAATCTGCTCTCTGGAGACCCACTTTATTAAGGATTTGCAGTGATCATAGAGGAAGTTAATCCAAGTGTTCATTACTCGTGATACTGTCGTTTCGGACACCCTGAAAATATCAGCAAGGTGTTCCTGAAGCAGCCCTAAACGAAGTCTCATGCAAACCATCAAGAATTCATCCACTGGTCTCAAGGAACGTTTTCTGCCAGGCTTTTTAACCCCTGGTTCATGATACGACTTCTCACCCATGGACCTTGTCTCTCCCTCCCAGTAATTGAGTTTCTCTGCACCATGTTTCTGCCTCAGCACTGCAAAAAACATCCAAAAAATTTGAAAAGTTGCAAAACCTGTATAAAATCTTGTTTTAGAATCGTCATCTTTCATATCTTCATATGTCATCCTAGGCAAATCTGCCTGAACTTCAGCATTAACAGTAGACAAAGGGCTGCCAGTCGTCTGGGTTGCAGTTGAAACATGTACACAATGCTCTTCTGTATTTGTGTACGCATCTTTTGAATAAAAATAATTTGAGGTCAGTTTGTATTGCAACATCATTGTACATTGACACAGGATTATCTTGTGGATTTTCAGTATCACTTTGCCCTGAACCATCATTTTGAAATGAATTTTCAATTTTTCTTACAAGAGGTCTTCGGGATTTTGTTTCCTTTTTGGGTTTACTTGGAAAAATTGTGGGAATCGATTCCTCAGTAAATGTTCCCTCAAAATGAACACTGCAAACTCGTGTGTGGTCTTTTACAACCAAATTTGCTCTCACATGTCGAAGTCGCTGAATCCAGAGACGCTTAATATGGGCCTTTTTCTCCGACATAGGGAAGCGATGCAATATTATTTTATTTCCATATTCATCCAATGTTTGAGAAGTGTTGCTGCATCCAGGAACGCAGCAATATTTCTTCCCCATACTGGAAAATAAAAAGTACATTGTAAAGTACTTAAAAAGGAATTTTTTTTAAAAAAAAAATGTTACAATTGACATTCATGTCCTTTTAAAATAAATTATGTTATGAATTCAAAATTATTTACATGTTACTGAATTGTTTTGCGAATTAAACAATGCCTTTTACACAACGGGGGGGGGGGGGGGGGGGGGCAATGTTAGATTTTCTTATGAACACAACTTGACAGCTGTAAATATTCAGTCCTCGTCGAATAAAAATAAATTCTATACTTTAAAAAAATAGATATATGTATATAGACCTTTATAAATATTGACATTTTTTTTTCTAGAATATACTAGATCCTTATGGTTGTTGCATGTGTATTAGATTCAAGAACCAACTCTGTACTGCTTTTATATTAATATGCATCGTAAACCAGTGTAACATCCTAAATACGACCGCTATTTAAATCCCTTACCTGGCTTGTCAGTGTCCTCGATACCGATAGTGTGTATTTTCTCGACGCTTCTTGCTTCAGCGATTTTGTTGCTTTGTGTATTGACGCCCCGGAAGTGGAGAGCTTCACAGTTAGGGACGATAACTCGTATTAAAAAAACATTGCGGAACTTGGCCATTATGAAACAGATTTGTCAGACTCTGTGGTATTATTTTTTTTTATCGCAGGCTCATTAGGATATATCGTATCGACTTAGAAATGGAAATTACCATTATTGAAACGAGTGAATGAGTGAAAAAAAAGTTGTCAGCAAAAAATCTCTGGGATTTTTTATACATCTTTTATCAAGAAAAACAAATAAAGTTCAGCTAGAGCCTAGAATCAGGTCACGATACTCTAGAAATAGGGCGTTTAATTAATGTAATTAATGGGCTAACAGTTTGGAAAAACTCAAGTCAACATTTGACTTTAGGATAGATTATATTTGCTAACGAGGTCATTGTATCGACCATAGAAGGGAAAAAGTTAGAGTATTTCGGATTTCAAAACTGAGGTCCGTGTAAAGGAAGGCAATTAAGGTAGGATTCTTCTCTGGTTTCTGACTAGATGAAACATTCATAGTATATTTGCTTATGTGTTTTATATATTTAGGTGTAAGGAATTTAAAAGACCATATCTTTCTTTCCTCATCACAATTGTGCAACTTTAAATAGAAATGATAAACTGCGTTTGAAAAATAGCAGGGACTGCATTTTTGGCGGAATGGTGGCGTATGAAATATCTTCTTTTCTGCCTCTCAAAATTATAATAGAACAACGAAATTAGTTATACTTTTTAGACAATCAAAGACTTGCAGAAATTTTCAAATGTAAGATAGATTAATAATAAGGGCAAAACATTCAAAATATATCAAATAAATATGATTTTTCAAACAACCTAGAACTATGTTAGCTTTTAAACGCTTCCAATCAAAGAACAGAGTTGAGCCAAAAATCCATAAAATGTATTTTTTTCTCTCTTAGTAAAAGATCAAAACTTTTTGTGTTTGTATCATTTTGTACATTTATAAGTCTACCTTATTATATGTGAAAATAAGAAAACGTTAAATATAGGAAGCATATGAAAATAACTAATATATCCAAAAAAAAAAATAAAAAAATAAGAAAAACAGAGAAATTTCGGATTAGCCAATATCCAGTTTAGTTAAATTATTCATGTAAATTTGGTAATATCATACTATAGACTCGATATAGTAAAACCTTTTTATGCAAAAGGAACAATCTTTAAACTTTTGAAATAGAAGTAAGCATCATGTGATTAACAACAGTATTTTTTTACTTTATTATGTCAAGGAAAAAGATAATGACCTGACCTTGCCTCTAATACAAAACGGTCAAATTCAATCTCACTGATACAATCACTTACTGATAAGGTCTTCTTGATTCTGTGAAAATTTCATTAATTTTTAAATATAAGAAATATTATAAGAAACCTACCTTTAGAATTCAAATTTAAATATTCGTGGGTACCTATAATAATTCAAGAAGTTTTGGGTTACTTGGCGACTTTACTGTCAATGTACCTAGGCAGGGGAAGTTTATGAGGATAATTTACATTATCGATAAGTATATACATTGTAAAATGCTTTTGATGCTCCTACCTTCCTCTAACAAATACCACCCGAGTGCTTCTCTCGCAGCAACAAGTGCTCGAAGTTACCTTTATTTTATATCTTATATATAGCAGATATTTTAAAAAGGTTTTCTAACCGTGAAATAATGTCTCAAAGGCATTTAAATTTCAGTTCAGGGGTGCACCATTTTAATTTTTCTGATTTATGTATATTTAAATTAAATGAATATTTATAAATTTATCACCAGTGAAAAAAAGTATAAAAAGTATTATTCTTCTTCAAATTTTGTTTTGGTTGTTGTTGATATTTATAATAGTTCTAACCTTCTATCTTGTTCGCATCTTGTTTTTCGCTTGTTTTGATTTAAACATATTCTATTGTAATTTAATCACAAAGGGATCGGGTACAAGTAATCAAAAAAAATCTTATTACGCCCTCTCGCTACATGTAAATTACGAATTTTTAATTGTCACTTTTTAAAGTATACAGTACATGTATTTTCAAAAATTAACAAATCGATGCATTTTGCAGATAAATACATATACTTTTGTACAAATGCTATATATTGGCAAACTTATTTACAAGATTTTTATTTACATAGACTAGTAAACGTCTACTATAACCTCTACTTGTATTACTGCTATGATTCACGTAACAACCTCATTTGATAATGTCATAAATAGCTATGATAGTGAATACCGTATTACGCGTACATGACAATGAGCACACGCGGCGGGTGTGACCGGTCGGCAGGGGATGCTCACTTTCCATAAGACCAGGCCTGGGGGGCCATACAACTTTGACGATCGCGAGCTCACTCTTGATCTCAGTCTCACTTTTCCTTTATAAATTCCTTTAAAAAAAGTGAGATTGAGCTCAAAAGTGAGCTCGTCTAAGTTTTATGGCCCCCAGGCCTGATCCCATCTCTGATATTTTTTAGGTCCGTGATTTTTGTACTGTTTTAGGCATTAAATTTGTCATTTTTTGAAGTATACAGTATTTGCAAAAATTAACCGATTGATGCATTTTGCAGATAAATACATATAATTTTGTACAAATGCTATATACTGGCACATTTAACAAGATTTTTATTTACATAGACTAGTAAACATCTAATTACTTGTATTACTGCTATGATTAACGTAGAAACCTCATTTGATAATGTCTTATCTAGCTATTATAGTGAGTACTCGTATATGACAATGAGCACACGGCGGGTGTGACCGGTCGGCAGGGGATGCTCACTTTCCATAAGACCAGGCCCCACCGCCATAAACCTTTAAGAATTCTCAAAAAAAATTTCAACTCAAGCCTTGAAAATTACTCTGTTAAGAATATTCTTAAATTCGCTGCCATAAAACGATTTGAAAATATTCTTAAATGAATAATTCTCAAAACTTGGGTTGAGAATTTTTTCAAAATTATTTTCTCGCGAGAATGTTTTCGCGGATTTTTCTCATTGTTGGAAGAGGCCTCGAGGAGCTCTTTTAAACAGAAAGGTAAGAAATGTCCGCAGTAACGTGTAAATAAACGACATGATGATTGGATACGTAAGTATTTCTGTCGTCTGCTTGGTTTAAATGATGGATGTTCAAGAAAAAAAGTCTAGGTCACAAAATTGGCGGGTTGGGGAAGAAGTAGTTATGATTGAGGAGGTAAAGAGTTGAGCAGAAGTTTTATTTGGACCTATGAAGGGGAGTGGCTCGAAGGGGAAAGTCAAAGAAATTAAAGAGCGAGAGTGGCAATTAATTGCTGATAAGTTAAACTCGTATGTTTCTAAGTTTATGTTATATGTTATTTTACAGCGCTGATAATATTGACATGACCGAGATCGCAGCTGAGTGTAAAACCATGAAAAGAAAAGGGGCTTTCCGTTTCTAATTTTAGAAACGGCTTGATCGAAGGAGTCAAGCAAGGATAAATCAGAACTAATTGCTTTTATACTGTTATAAAATCCTTATATTTGTAATGTGGCCTGTAATTATGTTACCCCCAGCCGGCACAGTCAATTTAATGACTATTTCTACAACTGTTCTAATCAACATAATGTGTAGATGCACTTAAAAGAAAAACAAGGATCAAGAAAACATTTTATTTATACGTTTGTATTTAGATAATCCATTATAATGAATGCATTTATAATGTCTAAATTAATGCAAAACTCACTCTAATTTTTTATTATGTAAAAACAGTTCTATATAATTATTTTTTGTGTATTTTTAGGCAATTTGATACAAAGAAGAGGGGATGGGAGGAATGTAAGGAAGAAAAATTATAATGTAAAATCCAGAAGTAAGTAAAAACAATTGCACATCAATATTAAATTTGACATGTTTGATTTGTATTTTTTGTCGATTTAAACATATTAAAGATTTTGAATTATTTTTCACATTTGTTTAAATGTTAAAATGATTCACAACAAAGTGGAAATGTATGTTTACATATCATGAAATGTGTCAAACATATTTTTTAACATTATATAGAAAGATGATTGATTGCATGTGTACATTTGTAGGCAAGGAGAAGTTAGACAGCTTAAAGAGACCGAAGACAGGAGGTGGACCTCCCCTACCACCCCTTACAGAAGGTGAAGAGACCTTTCTAAGATTGTCAGCATCTGAACCAAACATACATGGTTTGGAGGGAGGAATCGACACAGATGGTACAAAATTCTTAATAATATATAAATATTGCATGTAGTTGAATGTAACATTGAAAATTTTCACCCCAAGAAAATCATTGTCAACCAGGGTGCAGCCAAGGTTGGCAATGATTTTCGAGGGGTGAAAATTTTCAATGTTACATTCAACTACATGCAATATTTATTATATTATACTGAATGTTTTATACAAATACATATAACAGTGAACCGTGCGCGCATAAATTCTGCGCAATCACTATTTTTTGTAATACCACCCGTCGTCAGTTAACGATGACTGTTGCTACGCTGGAGGGCGTGGCTTCATTATTCAGCGGGTAATAGTGTTTTTTAGGAAATGTTTTGAGACCAATCAGATTCAACTAATTAACATGAATTAAAAGTATAATATTGTTATATAATCAAAATAATACATGTATAGTGCACTATTATATTTCTGTAAAAATTAAATTGATCACCATGCTAGGACAAATAATTGCTGATAAACTGCTAAGCAATGCATATTTTCTACATGTTACATGTAATGTACCATATAATCCCTATCAACCGCCCTGGGCGCTTAGAAAATTGCAAAAAGGGGGCGGTTATTTTGGTATTCTCTTTATGATATTTAATGTCAGATTTTAACTTCATAAATCTTTTGAAAAAAAAATAAATGTGACGCGCCAAGCAAAAACCTCCCTTAACGAAGAATTTTGACATTTTCAGTTTTTTATTGATTCTTGTAGAGTTTTTCTTTCTCTTTCATTTGATGTATAACATGACATATATTTCTGTGCATAAATGTATAAAATATCGCATGACAAAGACGGAATATTTACTTTGACGTACAGTGTACGCGTGCGTAACTGCATGAATTTTCAAAACGTAAAATCGTAAAATAACGTGAAGCTACATACGTAATAATTTGATGATATTTATATTTTCAAACTTTTGAATTGATTTCCTTAAATTTATCAATAATTAAGATTTTTCATCGTAATAATAAAAATAAACATTGTAAACTATTTATTTGAAAAACGAAATGGGGGGGGGGGGGGGGGGCATCGAAATGATTGACAAGGGAAAAATGGCAGAAATCTACATCACTGCTACAGTCTACATCACAGTCTACATCACTGCAACAGTAAAAGGAAATAAGCAACATTTAGATGAAAAAAAAAATCCTATTGTGGTAGTACGAACGATGCATGCACATCTTACTGCTAGCCCAAGCAGATTTACCTTAAGCTCATGTGGTAGAGCACTGGACTGGTAAGCCAGAGGCCTCGGGTCAACCCCATTGACGCAGAGGCACTTCATTGTCTCTGTTTATCTGTTACACTATCAAAGTAGTTATCTTAAAAATGTTCGAGACAGCGCCCCCCCCCGGGCATTAAAAGTCTATATAATACACAGCATAAAAAAAGTTTTGTCATATATATAGTTAACGTTTTCAATACTTGAATTTTTAAACAGTGCGACAGGGTTTTTTAATCTAAAGGATACCACATTTCTTTTATCACGTTTACTATATTTACATGTTTTAGTTTCGAATGTTTTAATACGGGAAATAAGTATGCCTCACCTCTGACGATTTTTTGGCTTATTGATAAGACATTCCGCATCCTGGATTAAATTGTATTTGTCTCTTGTCGTAGAGTTCGACTCTTTTTTTATTTGGATATCGTTATTAAATCGGTCTTTTTAAATTCAAATGAGGAACTTGTAAGTTGTCAAACTTGTGTCCAATCTTAATTATGTCAATAAATGCGTGTTCAAATCAAAACAATTAAGATTAGATGCATCAAATTTTAAAATGTTTAATGAAAGTTTAAACCATTATTTCTGGTTAATCTTTAAATATTTGATTAATTTTCCGTGGCCCTCCGTTTCCTATTTTACATTTATGTTTAAATTATTGAAAAAAAAACGTTTAGAATTATTTCGTAACTAAATGCGTTTGCATACTTTTCAGTGAATCAGAATGTAACACCCAACCCCATCCAATAAAATATATGTATATTTTTTAAAATATGGTTTGAAAAAAAAAATTACGCAATTTATTAACATGTATGAAGTTGATCATGAATTAATTTTGATCGATCATTGTATACTGACCGAATAACAAACCACAATACCAGAATATACATGAATCTCACAAGTAACACACTCAACAACTTCATTTACATTCATTTCTAGACAAAGACTACAAGTTCTAACCTAAACTTTACCGTTACCTTCCTGAGAAAGTTCATGCACACATTATGATTTATTTTAATCATATCAAATATTAGTTACTTTTTATTATAGTTTAAAACATTCATGTTAAAAATTGAAACAAAAAGTAAGAGAACGGGTAACACATTCTTAATATTCTACCCTTATAGTAAACGGGGGGGGGGGGGGTTCTAATTAATTGATGTAATTTATACTAACGGGATTTTTTTTGGGAAAACAAGAAAGCTATATGAATGGATTAGTTGAACAAGCACGCAATATTCAAGTCGACCAACATGTATTTTTTATGTTCGATAAGTCCTTTTTCTTAAATATTTCCATTTCTAATTGTTCTCTCTGTGATAACTCTTTGAAAGTTAGCAGAGTTAATTTCTTAATAATTCTACCGGAATATAAATTAGGCAGGTCAATAGGTCAGGAGCTAAGGAGGCCTAATATACATGCAAATCTCGTGTGCATCTGTCTCTCAGTCTGATGCTAAGAGGCCAAACATGCATGGAAATTTCGTGCGACTACTGTTGTGTTTGACATCAGTGGGCGATGACTATTGAAATTGGGATGGGAATCCTCGTGTAATATAAATCTATGTCTGCATTTTTAAAGTCTACATCTGTAATTTTATTTCACAATGAAATGGAAATATAAGGAATCATTGTCTAGTTAGTATAGTATGCCCGTTATGCAAATTATCCCATGTTTCCCACTATTGTTGATGCCCTGGCATATTATACTAACTAGACAGTGATTCCTTAAACATAGAGCGTTTCGATCATTGATTTTTTTTTCATATTTTGAGCAGATTTTTACCGTACTAGTTTTGCTAATTTTGCACAAAACTCCCCATAGCTGTGCATGTATGTACATGTAGGAATGTACAATGCGACTTTCGCAGAAAAAGAAAAATATTGAAGTTGTTTTAATTTGTTATTGAATTACGTGTAATCCGTAGCAAACTTTAATAATTTGAAATGCATAAAGATATTCATATTATATTACAATTCAACAGAAGGAAAAAAGATTACTATTTTCCAAGGTAGATGTGAAATCAAAAAATGTTGGTAGTCAAATCTTTGTCGGGGAAATAATTATTACAGGTAAAATAAATCCTTAATATTGAAGGTTAAAATAAAATCACCAAAATGAAAATTTATAACTCTAAAATGTTTAATGTAAACTTTCATTCTATCCTCAGTTCAAAAGGCTGAATAAGTACTGGAGACTGCGTTTCAGTTTGTTGTTTTCTAAACGTTTAAAAAATCACCTTTTCACCTTATTTTTTCTTCTTTGCTTGAAAAATTTTGCACAAAATAATAATATATTGAAATGTTTTAAAAGTGTTCAAACAATTTGTATCAATTTATATTTCTTATAACATTTTATCGATGGATCATGTTCGCCAGTTTCACATTCGATGTATTGTGTATACACTGTAACCTCAGCAAACGGATAATGAATACATAACAGTGAAGCAAAATAACGGCATGTTTCATTTTTTCTCCGGAAAATGTCGATAAACATATGTCCAATCTGTTTTATTCTCAATCATAAAATATCTTAGAAAGTGGGACTGTAACTTACAATGTATGCGAGCATCCGTACTGTATATATTCACGACAAAATTTGCACAAAGTCCCCAAAGAGATAGAGCAGACACAGGAGAAAGAGAGGGGGCGAATTTTTCCTACATTTTTGCGCACAACATGAAAAGGTGTAAAAAATAGCAAAATTAATTGAGAAGCTCAAAAGCCCCTTCTTCATAATATTTATTTGAAATCAACAGCTAAAAGCTAATTCTGGAAGAAGTGGCCAAGTCAAATACTCTGTGTCGTATCTATAGAGAATTACATTTTATAACTAAACTTCACTACATGTATACATATAAATTGTGTTCCTTATTGCACAATCACTTGCATAAAAGAATATCGATCCACCTGACGTTACATTTCAATATTGAAATATTATAATCATCAATTTGAACTGTTGAAGTGATTTTTAATTAAAATCTACTTTGTTTGCTTACGATTTTTTTTTATATATAAACCGCAGAGTTAACTGCCCAACTCAGTTTATTCCGTATAAATTGGGTAGCTAAGAGAGGTAACTCAGGTCAATTTTCACTGCATCGCAATTTTTTAAAAAAAGATACCTTTTCTAGTTTAATGCTCCTGTTTAATTTTTCTTGCACGTGCATCACGATAAAACAGCTGGAAATTAGCAGCTTGAATTAAAAAAAAATCTTTAAAAACTTGTTTATAAGACCTTTTAAGGTGAACCGACTAATCTTTTTAAAAATTATTCATTCCGGAATTTTCTCATCCAATCAACAACTTTTTTTTTTTTTAATTTCAAATGCCTTCAAAATATTCCATGTAACTACCGAAGCAATTTATTTTTATACAGAACAGAAAGAGGGCAAACAAACTTCATTTTAAAAACGGTCTTACGGGAATTTTTTAACCACCACTGGACATCTTTAGAAAATATGTATACACTTATTAATAATAATTTTGAAAAGGATATAGGTCACACAGACACTTGACGGAGACTAACTTCGTACAGAATAAACTACATTCAAACCACACCCAAATATCTTTCTTATGCCATATAATTAAAACAACATCCCTTATTCTGCTGGGGAGAGTTTCTCCGAAGGGAGCGTTTTTACGTCGCATTTACCATGTTGACTTTAGACGCGTCTTTAGACGTTACGTCATAATAGACATAAGGGAGGTTTTTGCTTGGCGCGTCACAAATACAGAGAAACACTGAAGTAATGTCTTAACTTTACTTAAAGTGAAGATAATCCACCCAAATTATTCTATTTAAAAATTATTCATTTTCCACAGAGAAATTGGATAATAGACAAGTTTCATTTTCAATTTACCGGGTATTCAATTTTTTGATATGATTCTACTTGATTTTAATCACTGTACAGGGACCCTTATTTCCCTAAGAGACCTAATTGGGCGCTTATAAGGGGCAGGGGCAGTTAATATGGATTATACGGTATATCATTTATTTTTTTCAGCAATTTCTCCAGTATCAACTGTCGAGAATATTTCATCCAATATACATGTACCCGAGAGTACCCAGCAGATTAATGCAGGAAAATCAGTTCAGGAAGGTAATGTTTATTCTTATGACACAAGAGTAACTCAGG